TTATGTACCTTTCCCAAAAGTGATCAAATTATTTGTGGCATCACTATATATATATATATATATATATATATATATATACACACACAAAATGCCAGATAATATCAAAATGTAATACTGATACATGTCTTTCTACCACACCTTTATATGGGTTGTGGTTGTCATGTGATATCTTGATATGCATATTCAAAACCATTTCAGTATAATATACTCATCCATCTGTATTCATGCAGCCGTACCTTTTTGATATATCTTTCTAGACATACATTGCAGAATTTCACTTGAGGCTTGACTTAAAAACTTTATTTTCAATTTATTAATTATGTTAGAAATTTAAAGCTCTGACCATTTAGTGGCTATTAAGAAACTGCCCATTTCATGTCACAGTTGTTCGAGTACAACTAGGCCTCATCCCAACTTTTGTTTTTATGTGCAATGTATTTTTCATACAGCTTTCTATAGTTTTTCTTTCTCTTGCTAAAGTAACTGTGGAGCAGCTTGTACAACTGTGGTTTATGCTTCTTTACAATGGAAAGATATTTGTGTATCTTTTTGCACAGTTGAATGGAATATGTTCAAATTGTTAGCAATCAATTTTTTAGGTGGAGGTGGAAAGCTTTCTGAAGACCTGTAGGTGGATTGATATTAAGATGGTTTTGCATCCTTGTATAGAAGCACTAATCTTCTGCTTCCAGAGCTGTTCACTATGTTATACACAATCACCTTTGAAATCGGTTTAGACCAGGCTTTACATCTCTTTGCTGTTTCTCTATACAAACATCCTTTTGTGGAAAAAGCTGTGACATTTTATCCTTTATTCATAAGTCTAACCATGGCTACATTGCAAGGAGAGTTGTTGAGGAAGTTTCTGTGAATCAAATATAGAGGTGATAAACTTGTCACTCGTGATGTTACGGCTCACATCTGCAGCATTAAGATGCAGCTCATTCTTATAAAGCTTATCTGGAATTAATCTCATCTAATCATAAGTTAATACTTATTTTTGTTTTGTCTTTTTGTTCCATTCTGTTTTTACAAAAGACTAATTTAAAATCAATTTTAATTTTTTTAGCAAGGATAAAAGTTAGATGTCTTGTTTTTTTTTTAAAACATCTAGATAGGTTCTCATGAGTTCCTTGCTTTTGCCTCAAATTAAGCCCTGTGGATTGCTTGATTTCTCTGCAGGTTTGAATATTTGATGCAATACAGCCTCTATTGTTTCTCTCAATCACTTAGTTGCTCACTCAAGTGTAATACTACCTGTCCTCGATTTTAGCACTTCCATGTAATTACTTCCATGAAATACTTTAAAGAAATGGTATAGATCTTTCTTTGAAGTACCACTGAATCACAGTGAACTATTTTGTTTTGTGTCGCCCCATTAATTGGTGGCATGTTTTCAAACATTAATCTTCTCGGTTACCAAGTGGCTGAGTTACCAATGTAACCAAAGGCTCCGGTTCTTCTCAGTACCTTAGACCACCAATGTCTTGGAGAACATGATGTTCATGCTCCTGATCGACAGAGCAACATGTTGCTGCCACATGCACACCTTATTATGCCCTGCACAATTCTTGGCTTCAAGGCCACATTGGAAGCTCATCTTTAAAGCTTAGAGTATTCTTGTCTTTACTGGGATTACCAGTTTTACAGTGGGATGCTTGCTACACAACACTAGGGCAGCTTCTCTTGAAATACTTCGTACCCAGGAACATCTCAATCTTTTTTTCTGTTTGATCACTGGATACTTTAATTAGAGTTGGGGTTTGCAGTACTGTCTGAAAACCACCTTGAAGTCCTACAGAAACCATCTTTTTTGGTTTCAAGGCTTCTAGATAGTTTATCACCATAGTAACCAGGACTACTGGTCATCCTTTCCCACAAGTTGAAGGTAATCCTAGCAGAATGGGCTGTATCAATTTCCTGTTTAAAAAGCTGGATCAAGTATATGGACATAGCTTATTTGCATGTTCTGAAAAAGATCCTTGTATAGGATGGGGCTCCCACTGAACTGTACCACATTTTCAAATCTCATTTTCACCTTATTTATTACTTCTCCATCATAAATCCTTTGTGATCTTGGAAACGACCTTTTCATTTCAACGAAATACAGATTGAAATGGCATTAAAGGAATGCTAATGGAGAAAAGAGAAATTCATCTAACATAAATCTAACAAAAAGTGATCCGTGGTTATGCCACCACCAAAATTATAATGTAATAACGTAGCCTGTAGTTGTCCTTATGTAAAGCAAGAACAAAGAAGTAAGTAAATTTAAATTGCAATAGAAGTAGGCCTAAAAACTTGTATGCAGAGAATGAAATAAAAACTTGAAAGCAACAACAAGAGCATTGCACTGTAAATTATCTGTTTTAGCTTTTGGCTGTCTATCTACAAACAGCAATACAAGTGAATTCTGGATAACTGCATTAAACAGCAACAAAGTGAATTTGAATTGTTTGCAGGTATACCAACAGAAAAGGGAAATCAAAATTTCAATCTTCCTTTTGCACATGACTGGCATGAAAGTTCTCTAGCAAGCAAGCTGAATCATGATAGACAAGCCCTGGGATTATCTGTGGACATGGAGAAGCAAACCCATTTGAGCAAGAATAACAAATACAAGATTGGACACATCCTTTTTGTATAGAAAATCTAAATACAGATACCCGTATTGAAATTTTGAAAAACATTACTTGAATACATCTGAACACAGATATATTCAGTTTTTTAGTTATGAAAATATTACAACCATGATATTTGCATGTTACACCCTTATTGATATAAAATGGATAACAAAAAGAAAATGTTTTTGCCAAAAGCTCACACATGCATACAAAATTGATATCTGAACTTAAACTTGTATGGTCTTTGGAGAAAACAATTATTTTTCTGCTCTGTTATCACAATATTGTCAGATTGCTGATATACAAGTGCAAGCTGTGTTTGGTGTCTGCTTATTGACATTCCAGTATCCAAGAATTACATATTCTTGTGATATATAGTATGTAAAATTGAATATGCAGCTGTTTCTCCTATATTATTAAAAGGGAAAAGCTTTGTAGCTTATCTGTACATTAAAAGTTTTTCTGTATTCATTTTATAGGGTGTGGCTTAAACTTTCACAAACGGTGTGCTTATAAGATTCCCAACAATTGTACACACACACGTAGACGTAGGTCTTCAACATATCTCTACCCCAGGAGTCCTACGGAGTCTCTACAGAGAACAGCAAGCAGTGGACCAATATTTTCAGATGAAACTTCTGTAAGTTGAAAACTTTTAATATTAAAGAATACATTATCTATTTGTAGTCAGGTATTTACAGTACTTCAGACTTGTTTGTGTAATTAAAGTTTGGCATAAAATCTCATTATAATTATTTTATAAAATGACATTTTAGAAGCTAACACCCATCAGAAACCATTGCATTTATATTATCTGCTTAATAACTTACAAATAAGCATTCTTTTCCTCTGTATTTAGAAAAAATAGATTTTGAAATACCTTACATGTTTACATGCAATGTAAAAGGAACAACAAAGAGAAGATTTTACTACTTAATTTCACCTCACATAAATATTATACCTAATATACTTCACTTGAATGTTCATGATGTTAGAAAAAACACGTAGGTTCAAGAAGTCTTGATAGAAATGAATAAAAACCCTATAACCCGTGCGCTTTCAAAAGTTGGACCTTTCTTCTTCAGGGGCAAACTGGCAGTGGTGGTTTAATCGAATGAGTGATATATATAAAGGGAGTTTAGTGATGTCATGAAGGTCATCCGGTTTTCGAGGAAATGTTTAGTCTATTTTTCTATGTAAGCATCTCATTTTCAGTACAGTGTAGCCAATGGTGAGAGTGTATGTGAAAAGGTGTTAGGGATATTTTACTTTAGAAATGGATAAATATATGTATATTTAAAACTATATTTAAGTGTTTAAGTAAAATAAAGGTGACACCTGGAGACTGATTGAAAAAGATATGTTATGCTAATCAATTTATAAAAACAGGTATGAAAAATTATCTTAAAAAAACAGTAAGTTTTAGGAAATTCAGCATTCACATTACATGAAAAAATAAGCAAAGAATAAAAAAATATTTTCTGAGAGAGATGAAACCAGTGAACGGAGATCACTGATTCCAGGATCTAGATTAATTCTGAAACGTTGAACAGTATTTAGATTAACAATCCAATAAGCTTCCTTTATTTCTCTATCTGCTTTAGTTTTTAATCCTGTTTCACTGCTGATGAGAATAACAGTGTTGATGGAATGACAAGGTTGGTTAAAGTGTTGAGCAACAGGGAGATCTTTCTCGGTGTTAATAGTAGATTTATGGTTGTTGAAATGTTCTCTAAGAGTTGTTTGTGTATGTCCTACATATTGGTAATTGCATTTTTTACACTGTATAAGGTAAATGGTGTTTTTTGTTTCACAAGTGATTTCTTGGATATTTTAAAGTTTCTTTGATTGAGCTTGTTAGAAAATGAGTCAGTGGTTTTTATGAACATGCAGGTTTGACAACAGACTTTATTACATGGATGACAAACATTTTTGGGTGGGATGTAGGAGAAAGGCCCACCTTTCGAAAGTGCTCGGGTAATAGGGTTTTTATTCATTTCTATCAACACTTCATTTAAAAGTTTTATAGCTTTACTGGTTTATATTATGATTCACACATTTCAGCTTCACATAGATCATGGGTGCTTGTCAATACTTCCAAATATTTTCTTATTCTCATACAATATCTTGTTGGCCTGAGAGTTTCCTTCAACTTCTTTCAAAGCATGTTCAACCTCGTCCTATCCGCCTGTGATCTATGGAACTACTAGTTACCAGGATTTGAACCTCTCCTACTTATACTGTGCAAGAAGTTATATCATTTTTGGAGATCAGAGCTTCACTGCAACCACTTGTCCCTTTGGGTTGCACACATGTGCCTCCTCATGTTGAACTGCTCATGGGAACTTTTGACCTTAGTGGTTCACCTTTTCCTTCCTCTTCTTGAGGATCTGTTTTGCTGGCTGGACTAATCCAATACTACCATCAGTGTTCCATTACCTCCACCCTAACTGGATCTGCACCTATTTCACCAATGCTTCCCTCTCTGGTTGGGGAGCATCCCACATCAGGCACATGGACCTAGGATGAGTCATGTCAGTACGATTGTCCTTCTGGTAGTCCATCAGGTATGTTATCATTTCTTATCCCTCCTTGTGGATCAATTAGTTGTAATCCATTCTGACAACTCCACAGTTGATTCCTATACAAATCACCAAGGAGGTACTGGATCCAGGACCCTTTGCTTTCAAACTCTTGACCTATTTTATTGGACCAATTCTCAATGGGCTCATCTCATCACCTGCCATGTACTGAGTGCTATGAACTTGGTTGCTGACTGCCTCTTTTGGTTGGTCCATGTTCTGCCCACAAAATGGTTTCTTCACCCCCAGGTTTTCTGTCGAGTGTGCTCTCTCCTAGGGACTCCACTCATTGATGCCTTTGCTACCCCTCTTAATTCCAAACTTCTTTTCTTCTGGTTTCCTGTTCCCCATCCCTCGTCTCTGGCTGTCATTTTTTTCAGTCAGGCCTGGTCTCTTCTTTTCCTTTATGCTTACTCACTTCTCCATCTTTTACCTCAGGTCCTGGCCTTGATTTGCAATACTCCTTGTCATGTCTTCTTTGTGGCACTGCTCTGGCTGGCTCATCCTTGGTTTTCTCTTCAATGCTGCCTAACAACTCGATCCTATCTTCCCCTGCTAACTATATCCTCTTTTTTTGCTTCAACCTTACACATCACTGCTCCATTAAGGAATCTCATCCCTCCACCTTCGGATTTGGAATTTGTCTGGTTTTTCACCTGTAGAGCTGGACTTTCCAGTTGTGTAGTCTTTTTCCTTTATCATTCCTGTCACCCTTCCACATTATCCATCTACCAGTGTAAGTAGTGTGTCTTTTGCCAGTGGTCCATCTGTCACCATGTTCCTCCTGAATGTCTTACTGTCAACCATCCCTCCTCTCTCTTTGCTTGGCTGTTCAACCCTGGATTAGCTGTCTCCACCATTGCTGGTCACTATGTGGCCTTGCCCACAATATTTTTATCTTTCTTGGTATCACAGGGTGTTTTCCTTCACAGTTCTCTCAACCTTTTTCTCTTCTTTCCTTCTTCATAGCTCCCACCCATCACCCCATTCCACTGTTCCACATTTCATTCTATCAGCTTTTTCACTTGACTCATTCTCTCACTGCTCATTTCTGATGGTTGCTGGATGAGATCCTTCAGGTGGGCATGTGGATTACTCCACATCTTTGTTGCTCACTTTCTTCAACACTTGACTGTTCCTTTTTTTTTCCAGCATTCTCTTATAAGATCTTGCCAGATGGCTGGTGATGCCTCCCAGGGTATATGTATTTCCCAAAATCTGCATCAAGCCAGGATAATGGAAAGCACTCATATCATCTGTCCTGTCTCCTTATATGCCCATTGTGAGATGGGGTGTTCTGCAAGACCACTTGAGGTATCCTCATGGTATTTCTGTATCTCTGATTGTATCTCCGATTCAGACTATACATATTTCATGAACTATCAGGAAAAAAAGCCAGCACCAGGGGGTGTTCTCCCAACTTCCCTGGCTTGAGCTTGCTGGCTTTTCAAAATAGGGTTACACAGTCACCTGTTACACTGTCTCCAGTAAAAGACCTTTCTAGACTGAAGGAATGATGGGGATCTGGGAATTTTCTCCGGGTCTCCTCACTGTGAATTCCTCTCTCCTTGTGTCATCAAGTGGAGCAAAGGAAACCCTTGCTGATTACCAGTTCCTAGCTGTTGGAGTGGTGAAGCATATATAAATTTTACTGATTGGGGCCTAACTACTGGGTCTAGAACAAGTGGTACCAATGTGGTGGTAAGTGGGACAGTGGTGATACTGTCAGTGTAGTGCAAAGTCACCCCTCATATATGTATATATATATATATATATGTATATACCACATGCCTGAGTGTGTTATCTTGAGTTGAGGTGGCCACAAGCTATAATGCTGTACTATCTTCTTGCAGCCATACCATATTCAATAGAGTTGAGGCGAACTCATGATACGATAGTGTGCCCTCCTCCTGCAGCCTGCGACTGTCCATTGGAATTGAGGCAAGCATACACAGCTATCCTGTGCCCTTTTCCTGCAGATGTCACCTTTTCAGTTAAGTTGAGGCAAGCATGCACATACAAACTGTGCCCTTTTCCTGCAGATGTCACCTGTTCAGTTAAGTTGAGGCAAGCATGCACTTACAAACTGTGCCCTCCTCCTGCAGCTTAAATTTGTCCATTTGAGTCGAGGTGTGCATATACCATACCACTCTCTATGGCAGAACTACTGTGCCCTTCTCCCACAGTTGGTGTTGGTATAGTCTGAATGCACCCCAACCGTGCTATACATTTTGGCTCTCTTGTGTGCAAGTACTCAGATGGCCATACTCTTATTTTGTCCATCCCTGTAATACATAGGACTTGTTTACCTCTTCCTCCCTTTATTCTTGGGTGAAGAGTATACCCTGGATGAGATGAGATGCAGTCTCCCATGGGTGTGTCCTTGTGGAGTCCCTGCCATCAGGTGTCATACTCAGTGGGCTTCCTTTGGGTACTTCCTCAAGGGAGTTTGTCTAGATAATTCCTTGTACTGGTCCCTCTATCACTTCAACATGGAATTCTATCTTGCTGTGTGAAGAGGTGTGATATTGTCTCAGAAGTTAACATTTTTCTTACTTGAAAATGTATTTCTGATAGATACTCCCTTCTTCACAAACATTCCCATTCCTCCTGCCCACTTTTGGTGCACATTTTCTTACTTGCCTCATCAAAAAATGAAGATTCATGAGTGCAAATGCATAGAGGGAGTTAGTGCACAAGGAGGTGTGTTACCTTTCTATTGGTGGAAGGCTTTTGCTGCATAATGACACCATTATGCAGTAGCACAATTCACAAGAACTCTTGTGAGATTAGGTTGGAGTTTACTAAAGGATAGTGTCATACAAATCTTTAAGGCAGATGTATGGGGAAGATAGCTTACTATCAGAAATGCACTTTCAGGTAAGGAAAATGTTAACGTTTAATTCACGTGCTGATATGCAGGATCTTATTTCATTCAGTGAGCTTTCTATATGTTTAATGACATTGTTTCACATATAATTAAGCTGATATGCAGTTTATAACTTCATTTATTTTCTTTTGTATATTTTTGGAATAAAAGGCATGCAAGTTCTAATTTCATTTATTGTTATTCTGTATGTATTATCAGTAAATTCAGTATTTTAATATTTTTGTTGTTTGTGCAGGACGAAACTTCTTATGGTAACACTACAACTAAATCATATTTTTACACATAATACTGTGCAGGTGCTGTGTCTACTTAGCAATCTCTGACTTCATTACATTGAATTATTTGATATATGATAATGTTCAGGTTGTTAACATAGCATCATTTTAGCTGTTTCCAGTTTCACCAAATAAAGAGAAGAAATCATCGGTTAACATGGGTAGGCCACCTTGGGTGGATAGAGAGCTGGCTGGAAGAATTAGAGTCCCACATACATTTGTTGTCCATTCGTATACTCGACCCACACTGTGTCAGTATTGTAAAAAGCTTCTGAAGGGCCTGTTTCGGCAAGGCATGCAATGCAAAGGTATAATATCTTACTATAATGGATGAAAAAACTTTGAAAAATTTGCATGTCTGTCCATAATCACTCAAACATAAGTAAAATTAACTATAGCATTGAATGAGGTACCATTAGAAAGGTTACTTTCTCTACACTGGCCATAAAAAAAAACAAATATTTTATCCACTTTGGTTGCATCTTGGTTTCAGACTTTTGTATTATAGACCTAGTTTTCTATGCATGGAACAGTTATAATTTTCTATTTTCCCTAATAAACTTTTTGTTTTGTTGTTAAATAGGTTAAATGTGCAACACATCCTTAGATCTAATTATCTTTTGACTAAATCTTTGATGACTATATCACAGTGAGATGAAGGCTTAGGTTTCATCAAGTTTTAAAATTGACTAATTTATTCATGATGTGATATCTGTAGACTTGATGTCTCAATAACCTCAGAATATGCACTTTAGTAATAAAATTTCAACTTTCACTTACAAAATAAACGTTGACTTTTGAACAGGTATATAGTTGATTATTAGGAAGAGCTTAGAGAAGCATTAAGTTTTGAAAATAGTGAAAAATTAAACCTTGGATAAATGTGTTAAATCTTATCAATTCTTTCACTTATAACATTCTGGAAAGTTTAGAATCTGCTTGTTCTACTGTTGTTCTCATAGTTTTATGCTGTTAATTCTCTCAAATGTAAATTGTCACTCTAATAGTACTAATAATCTGTCTGAGAATTTCCAGATTTCTTTGTAAGATGAAATTTCAGTAATACTAACTGATCATTTAATTTTATCTTAACCTTGTATTAAGTCTATAAAAAGTTAAATAATGCAAGTGGATGCAAACTTTAAACCTGCTATTTTAGTAGCATTACATATTACCTGTCTCTCTACAGATTGCAAGTTAAATGTTCATAAGAGATGCAGTGAAAAAGTCCCCATGGATTGTACAGGAGAGGCACCAAAAGAGTGGCGTAAGTGTTTAAACTGGATTTTTTATCTTAAATTCATAAAATAGTCTTAATTTGTGATTTTATTGATTTGATGTTACACTTGGTTTTACATAATTCATGATTTACTGTATTTAATAATGCTTTTTAAAACTTGATATGATCTTACTCCATGATTTATATTACTCATTTATACAAGATTTATAATTTAAATCATTGTCTTCTAGTTACTTTTGGTGCTCATATTATACTCACAGATTGTTGGTATTTCTGTCTAATCAGTAGAAGGAGGAGAAAGTGTTGAAAGTGAAAATGGCGGAGATAGTCTGGATGGAGAGAATGAAGCTGAAAGAGTTGATGATGAGGACTCGGATAATGAAAGTAAGACATCTTCTGATAAAGGAGAAGATGCTAAACTTCCTCTGAAGTAAGTCTTAACTCTACTGCTTTATTAACTGTAGTTTCAAAGTTAATATCAAACTGGTGTATTTACGTGTTTTACACTCACCAAAAAGAAACCTATCACTCTATAGGTATTTGAAGAACTTGTAGCAATCTGCCACAATTTAATTCTTCGTATTGTTATCTGACACTGAGCAGCTTGTACATAATTGAATAATTAGAGTTGTTTAAACATTTGTAAATACTCCTGTTCGATTTTCGATTCCCCACTAGTATGAAGGCTTGGTTTGATCTGATAT